TCATAACAGGGAACACTGAAATAATAAAGTACTTCACTGAAGAAGGAGTTTAAAGGATTGTAACATCAGAAGCCTGAATGTATCTCTACCAAGCCATATTGTAACCATCAAGCTTGTGCCAAGTTCAACATCTCAGTATTGCAACAATTACGCTCTGTTAACAATAAACTTGTTCTCTCTGTGTTATAAATCTGCCTCCTCCATTGATTTTACATTTGGTGCAATCCACTCTACCAAAGTTGCCTCACAACGCAGATAGGGATAAATAGAGACTTCAATTCCAACGTCTCTATATATATATAATGGTGGCAGTGTAATCAAGCAATTTTGGGACTTCCTTATAATTTAGGTTGAAATTAGGTGGATTAACATACATATTTATTTAATTTTGGTAATCCCATTTAGGTGGGATTACGCTTCATTACTCAGCAAAAACACATTAACCACAAACTGTAAGATACTCAATGGCCGGTCATGTCTCTTTTTGCAAGATGTACTGGACAGTTGGGCTTCCTGTTTCTGTATTCCAGTAACCCAATTGCTCTTCCTGGTGTCAGTTGAGTTTCAGATGATCAGATTCATGCTAATTAAGTCAAGTTGTTATTTGATTAGATGATAAATGATACCTCCTCCAGCTATGTACCAGATAAAAGGCTTGTTGCACCTGTGCTATACATCTCCCCCCTTTTTTCAAAGGCACTGTCATCTGCACATTTTCAGCTTTTACAACAGCCCCAGTTCCACTATTGTCCTCCCACTCAGATTAATTCAGTTGCTGCAAACTCAAATCATCTTTGGCCATCTTAGCCACACTCTGATGTCACTTGGAATGCATTGGAAGGTGTGGTGTTGACTATTGCTCTCAGTTTCAAGTTAACTGGTCTCCCATTATCTTTCCTGGTTACTCCACAACTGTACCTTAGGGATGAAGTATCCTCTGAATTCAGTGTCACGAGTAACCATGTGGGCCACATTCATAGGTACAAGATCGCTGACTCTCTGTACTTCATGGATGACAGCATCCGCATATGGCATCTGTCTCCGGTCTTCATTGTTTGGGACGCGATTATGGCCAATCACTCGATCAATTTCTTCATGCACTTTTGCTGTTAAGTATATGCATAGAATGAACTCCTTGGGTTCCTGACTCTCAAAAGGAAATGATATTTTACTATGAACATGACTAAAGAGAGGCATGAAATCTCTGTGCATTCACTAAAGTAGACCAACATCACATCCCTAGCAACAGCCTGCATTGCCTGATTGTGGTTTCCTTTGGTGGAGAGTTACCATGAGCTAGTTTTCCTCATTCCTCATACCTTGCACTCTTCTATCATTTTTGAACTTTCCAGTTATTTCTGAAATGATCAATCATGCTATTGGTATGCCTCCTTGTGGCTATTAAACATTTTCAAGTCTTGTGGGCCCTTAGTATCTTTTGAGGGTTTTTTTCCAAGATACCCCATGGAAATTAACATCTGTGGATGCTGAAGTTTCACTATGACAATAATGCAGTGAAATAGCATCCCAAATATAAGTGGGCAAATAAATGTTGAGGGGAGTCAGTTATCTGTGAGGTCATGGCAGGCTATAGCAATGTTTGCATATACATCCTCATAGAACTTCATAGGTGTCCAAACCAGTTTGCTTCCCCCTCCTCAGATGCAGAACACATGGGGACAGAGGGCTGACTGTACTCAAATGTATGTGAAGAAGTGGAAAGTAGGGTGAAATTTAATCATGAATGTGACCGGAAGTTGACCATCAAATTATTCTGGAGGACATAGAAATTCCCAAAGAATCATTCTCTGTAGGAATCTCCATGTCTTCCAGTATGATTCTGCATTCTAGTTCCAGAAGGGTTTAATCATGAAGTTGCCCTGGACAAACTAAAGATTCATAGAGAGAACCAATAATCAAGTCCACAAAGATTAAATCTGCCAGTGTGGGCCAAATGAGGTGATACTGTACAACAATAACAACAATACCTTGGACTTCAGGATACTTCATCAAAAGCAGGAAGCCATATCTCAGAGTTGAACTGACCGTCTCTGTTCCAGCAAAGAACAGATTAAATATGGTCTGCTCCAAATTCTTAAAATTAAATTCACTAAGTGGATTGCCTTTTTCCTGAAAGGAGGAAAGATGAAGAAATAATGTGATGATTCCAAGATGAACCACTGACAGATCTACACCACCTTCACGCACTAGGAAGGTACCTTTTCCATCTGGATGAGGAAGCAATCAATAAAGTCACGTGGGAAGTTAGAGTCAAGGGTCTCTTGGTTCTTCTTCACTCTCTTGGCAATGAAGAATGACACATCTGACATAATGTCATAGACCCTGGTGTGGGGCCCTGGTAAGTACTTCAGAAAAGTGGGAAACATGTCATAGAGCTGCATGAGAAGAGAAACAATGTTTAGTGGGTTTCCTGCCAAATTCAACTCTAGTATCAGTTGTATTTCTTTAGTTTGCTTTGAAAGAAATTCTGGAACTAGAAGCAAAGAGGGCATCAAAGATCTCAGATTTGTTCTGATTAGGATAAATCAAAAGAGCACCTGGTTTCAGGACCGGATATGAACGCCTAGTAGATGAGAAGTGAAGAACATCAGGATAGTATCCAAGACCAAGAGTTTTATTAAGCTGCTGAACATTATCACAAAGTGAGTAACATTCAGGTACCTGGGACCAGGTTGAGCTCACTTCCCAGTAGAAATTGTGTATTAGCCTCATAAGGACCTGGAATTCCTTGTCCTCATAGTCAAAGCGGTCCCCAAACACAATGGAGCAAATTATATTAGAGACGGCATTCCTGAGAGGGTTGGTGGGGTCTAAAGGTTTTCCTGCAACACAACAGCAAAAAAAGAATACAAATAACAGAGATCCAGTCTACAGAAGGCACTTTTGCTTCCAAGATGCACACTACATCCATTAAATGTCAGATGTCGGGAGCAATATTCCTCCTTTCAGGATTTAGCTACTTTCACACAACAGAATAAATTCAACCTGCCTGGCAACTCACTCACCCTTCGTTTTACGAAATTCCTCCAGCAGGAATTGGGCCTCCTCTTGGATTCGCTCCTCAATAGACTTTTTCCCCATTCCAAAATTCTTCAAGACAGTGATGGAGAATTGGCGCAGTTGCTTCCAGCGTTCTCCATTGGAAAAGCCCACCCCTGAGGGAAAGAAGAAAAAAATAATAGAACAAGCAGAAGAAAGTGTTTTAACCATTCTTGTAAAGACAATTGGAGTGCCTCACCATGTCCTTCGACAACCCTCTCCAATGTAGGCTTGGTACTCCTTCCACTGAACTCTTCTGCCTTGTCTATTAGAGCTTCCTTCACAGCTTGGTGTCCACACAAGACCAGCACTGGACGTGTTCCCAAATAGACCGTGAAAATAGGGCCATATTTTTCATGCAGCTGTAGGAGAAATAAATGTTTAACCTCTGGCACTATCTTTGTGTTTAGCAGACATTTTGGAATGGTGTTATTTGAAGTGGATGAATTTGGGGTGAAGGAGTACGTTTCATGTCACATTGCCATTAATTCAGTTTAGGGATCATGAGAGAATATTAGTAGTTCCAGTTTGATCTACTGACATGGTAAATTGGAGTACCCAGGATGGTGGCCCCTCTGGATTAAGGGTGGTTCTGTTGAACGCCAGGTGTGTCAATGGCAAAACAGCTCTTATCCAGCATTTAATTCTGGATGAGCATGCAGACTTGGCGTGTATTACAGAGACCTGGTTGGATGAGGCTGGAGGTATAAATCTGACCCAGCTTTGTCCACCAGGTTTCTCCATGCAGCACCAACCGAGATCCGTAGGGTGGGGAAGCGGGGTCGCAGTGGTCATTAGGATTCCATCTCCCTGACCAGGTGCCTAATAATAATAATAATAATAATAATAATTTATTTATTTATAGACCACCTCCATCTCCCCCAAGGGGACTCGGGGTGGCTTACATTAGGCCACGCCCATAATACAGTAAACACAATATAACACTAAAGCATAACAAAAAAAAACCCAGGAAATAAAATACATAAGATGCAAAACCAATATAATAAGTGACACAGCAATATAAAATCAAACATTAAAACACAAATGATTACACTGGGCAGGGCCAAATTCAAAGATAATTAAAAAAAACACTGGGAGATAGGACAATGTAAAATATCAGTGAGGGGATCTGCGGATGAGGTAGGATTTAATTGCACGAACCAAAAAAATAAAGTGCTTCTGAGGTCATTTTATGTAAAGTTTGGTCAGAGAGTATCTTACATTCAATCAATGAAAGCATATTGGAATAACCAAGGGTTCAGGCTCCTCCTGAAGATTGCCAGCATGGGGGCTTGCCTAATATCTCTGGGGAGTGAATTCAAGAGCCGGGGAGCCACCACAGAGAAGGCCCTCTCTCTCTTCCCCACAAGTCACACTTGCGATGAGGACGGGAGCCAGAGAAGAGCCTCTACAGAAGATCAAAGAGGTCGTATGGTTTCATAGATGTAAATGCGGTCACACAGGTAGGCGGCTCCCAAACTATTTAGGGCTTTGTAGGTCAAAACCTGCACCTTGAATTGGGTCCAAAAAATAAACATCAGCCAGTGGAGCTCTGTAATAAGAGATCACCGTGACTACCCTGCCTAGAGGGGAACACCAACCCACCACTGGACACTAGTGTGACAAAGATCAAGGCTATCTTGACAAGGGAGACAAGCAATCTCGCCCACTGCCCTTCAGCTTGCAGGGTTATCGGTCAGCTGGACACTACTTTAAATAATGATAGTTAACTATAACAAAGGGGAAAGACTCTCTTGTCCCCACCTTAGAATTATATCTCTGTTAAGTGACCAACTGTGATGTAGTTGTAGACCGATGCAATTGTTAAAATCACTGCCACCACCTCACCTTAAATAGGTCTGAGGAAAGCCATATGTGTGAATGTGAAAAATAGGAAAAAGTTATATTTAAGCTCTTTGTTCTTCTTTGACCACTGTTACTTTTGCTGACTGGACTGAAAGAAATCTTCTTTAAGTTAGCTGAGAATGTAAAGGTTATTATAGACCGAGGCAGACACCAATTTAAAGGTGAAATAAGTAACAGGTTTATTTTAGAACTTAGTGAACAGATCAACTCTTAAAAGAGTGGTACAATAATCTTGATGCAGTTCAGTTCTTGAGGCTTAGCTGGTTTTAAGCAGGCAGTTTTACTTAAAAGGCTTCAACTTTTGTTTCTCAGTGAGTTCCTTGTCCCCACACTGATCTCTAACTGACACAGTGTGTCTTTGAGCACAGTACACAAACTGCCCCCCCCCCCCAGAGCAGATCAGGCTTCCTTTTCACTGTCCCTACTCTGATCAGTGAACTAGGATCCTTTACCTATCACTTGCTCTAATTTCTCAAGGCTCACACAAAAGTCTTCCCTCCCTGCCTAAGATCTCTATAGCTCTCTCTCCCTAAAATACACTTCTTTACACCATGCTGTCTAAACTCCAACTCCCTCTCACTTGTCAAATAAGCTAGCCTTTTTTCCCTCTAAATTCTAACTCCACCCCTGACTGTTTTAACCAATCAGGAGTCGGCTGACTCCTCCCTCCTGCCTCTGGCTCTCTTACCAAACCCAGAACATGTCAGCTACTGACTTTTCAGGCTTCGGCCTTCCTGCCAAAAAGGTCAGTTTCATGACAAGCTCCTTAAACAGGAGTCAACTATTTTTGAGTATGTCTATCTGAGGGTAGGTGACAGAGAAGGAATAGAGATTCTGTTAGTATACCGTCCACCCTGCTGCACTACAGTCTCCCTACCTGAGCTAGCTGGGATGCTCTCGAGCCTGGCTTTGGAGTCCCAACAGTTTATTGTGCTGGGGGACTTCAACATCCATGCTGAGGCCACCATATCAGGAGTGCCTCAGGACTTCATGTCTTCCATGGCGACCATAGGGCTGTCCCAACTAGTATCTGGCCCTACTCACAGTGTTGGACACACATTACACCTGGTTTTCTGTCAGGGATGGGAGAAGGTGGCGGGGTAGAGGAGCTAACTATTGCTCCTTCAGTTCCCCATTGGCTCCAGTTTCCTATTAGCTTCTTGATTATGTACATGGAAAGCACACAGTTGTGTCTTGCCAGGGTTAGGCTTCAGGTGGTCATATTTTTAATAGCTGGAGAGATTTTTCAGGGCTTTAGTAATTTGGATTTCAACTGTTTCAAAGTCTTTTGCTTATGTTGTTAGGTCAAGGTCCACAGCATATATAAAGCTCTTTGTGAGTGGTTGTGGCTGATAGTTAGTAAAGATGTTAAACAAGGTTGGTGCAAGAACCCTGCCTTGAGGTAGGCCATTCTTTCGCCTCCTCCATCTACTTTTCCTGCCCAGAAACTCCACATAAAAGTTACCGTTTTCTAGGAGGGTCTAGGTGTTTTTTGCAAAATTGTAGTCCCGGGTGGTATGGTAAACTTTATGCAGGAATTTCCTATGTTGCTCAATGTCATAGGCTGCTGTAAGGTTCACAAAAAATTGCTCCTGTAATGCAATTTGAGCTGTACAGTTTTTCTTTGGTCTGAAGCCTGGTTGTTGTTCAGGAAGCTGTGGTTCAATAACAGGGCTTAGTAGATTTAATAGCATCCTCTCATATATTTTAAACAGTTGACATAAGAGAGAAATTGGATGGTCATTCTTGGCGTTGGAGGCATCTTTACCAGGTTTTAAAATGGCAATAATCTTAGTCTTCCTCCATTGTTTGGGAATCTGTTTGTGTGCCAAGCATTGATTGTAACGAATGAGACAATTCAATGCCTTAAGGCATTGACATCTCCGGCCCATCCTCTGTTTGGATATCAGCCAGCATGCCAATGAATTAAATCAAGAAACAGCTTCCTAAAATCTACAGAGACACTTACAGGAACACCTCAGAAAGCGAGAGTCCAAAAAAGGCAGCTTAAAACCCGGAACCTCAATCAGTGATGGATGCCAGATGAGAAACTCCACCCTGAGCACACAGAAGTCTGGGTGACTTGGAAAGTGCTGAACAAACTGTGCTCTGGCACCACACAGTGCACAGCTAACCTTAAGTAATGGGACTACAAAGTTGAGTTCACGACATGTGAGTGTGAAGAGCAAACCATTGTACTTACTACAATGCAGCCTGAGCCCTACCACATGCACAATGGAGGACCTTCTCACAGCAACACCAGAGGCAATCCAAGTGGCCAGCTTCTGGTCAAAGGGCATTTAGTATAATGCCAAGTTTTTAGTTTTGTTTGTAGTTTTTCTATACATTATAAATGTATTCTCAATTTGCTTCTAACACGATAGATAAATAAATAAATAAATGTCTCAGTGAATCGTATTCATTTTCTTAGTTCTTCTACTACATCCAAAATCCCCAAATTGAATTCCAGGGAAAAATCACCAACCTTGGGAAGAGATTTCTTTACAAAAAAAATAATAATATAAAGAACAAAAAAGGCAAAAAAGTTTTTAAAAATGATTAAAAAAAGAAAAAGCATAGTTCTCAATTGTCAAAAGTGTCCATACATTGAGAAGATATTTTAAGGTTTCTCCTGACTTAATCTGCAGGAAATTCCCGATCAGGGGCAGGGGAGTGGGTCCTGGAGGAAGCTTTCCCTTCTGCAGTCGTTTCCTCTTAGAAGATATAAGTAAATGGCAAGAAACACAGATAACAAGGAGGAGGGTGACTACACCACCCCATTCCATGGTGCAGATAGTCCGCTGTCCTCTTTCGGCAGAGTGTAGAACTAGTCTCTTCTGGATGGGACTCCATGGCCTTTCATAGGGACTGGTTGGACACTGCCTTCCGGGCTGCATAACTGCACAGAGAAAAAATGTTGCATCTTAGTTCATGACACTGGGAAACAATATTGTATAACCAGATTAGATGCATGCCTCGTGTGCTGTTTTCCAATTCTATGCTTCTATAATAGTTTCTTTCCAGAAGAATATGTGCTGTGGATATGTTCCTACAGACAGTCTAAGAGATCTTATATGTCTTAACCTTTTAATAAGTTGTTACTCAATTTGGATATTACTTGCTATATGTAGTGACACCTATAGTCACAGGGTCTGCGTCCATGGATTCATCCAACCACCGCTTGAAAATATTGAGGTGTGTGAGAGTTTCAAAAAGCAAACCTAGTTTCCAATAGACTTCACAACCTCCGAGGATGCCCACCATAGATGCAGGCGAAACGTCAGGAGAGAACATGGCCACACAGCCCAAAAAACCTACAACAACCCAGTGATTCCGGCCATGAAAGCCTTTGACAATACAGCAACCTTTATTTTGCCAATAGAGAGCAGTCCATGCTGTTTCCTCCTGCCATTTCAGACCCTCAGATTCTCTTTGGCATTTGATTGAGTTCTTCATAATTTTATATCATAAGCACCAATTTACTTCATCAATGTACATAACAGGATTTAATTATCCAAGGAATTTGTTTTTCATGGAGGCAGGGACAGGGGGCTGGAGCAAAACCATGGCAGACACAGAAGGCCCAATGGACATACCTAACCATGGAAAATCAAACATGAAACTAATTTGAACTAGTATGTGCAAATTGATTATATTCATAGATGATGTAGTGTTGGTGATGTAAAACCTGATAGAATGTATAGACATGCCATTAACCCCATCTAAGTTAGCTAAAATGCGCAAAGGCTGCAATAATGTATGTTTATTCATTTATTTCTTTATCCTATTTATATCCCATCTTTCTCTACCCCAAAGGGGGCTCAAGGCAACTTTAAATATAGGAAACTATCCAATGCTTTTGAACAATGTACAGTTAAAATACATTTAAGTTAAAATTTAAAATAAAATTAAAGCATGTTAAAACATATATAGAAGAGTCTCGCTTATCCAACCTGCACTCATCCAACGTTCTGTATTATCCAATGCAGCCTGCCTCCCACCCGGATCCACAGCTGTTTCAATACATTGTGATGTTTTGGTACAAAATTCGGAAATACAGTAATCTATATAAATAAAAATGTACTGTTCGTTTGTAGGATTAATATAACTCAAAAACCACTGGATGAATGGACACCAAATTTGGACACAGAGCACCTTTCAGGCCAACGTGTGGCCATCACTCATGAAAACACTGCAAAACACAGCGGAAGGGACTTAAAAGCCAAAAAAATTGAAAATATATAACAATGCATGCGCAAAACCACATATATACACAAACACACATATAGGCATCATTTCCAATTTTAACTTTACATTTGGCCTTCCCACTGTTTTTAATTGTGTGTTGTCTTATTGTTAATTGTTGCATATTTTATTGTCTATGTTTTTTTTTTTATTTTAATTGCTTGTATTGTTGCTATTATTGCTTGTATTGTTGTATTTGGGCTCGGCCTCATGTAAGCCGCACCGAGTCCCTTGGGGAGATGCTAGCGGGGTACAAATAAAGTGTTGTTGTTGTTATTATTATTATTATTATTATTATTATTATTATTATTATTATTATTATTATATACACAAATACACAAACATATATAGACACATATACACATATATACACATACAAAACACAAACATATATCGACACATATACACATATATACACATACAAAACACATATACACAGACTAGGCCACAGCAACGCATGGCAGGGGATGGCTAGTCTATATAAATAAACATGTAATGTTCGTTTGTGGGATTAACATAACTTAAAAACCACTGGACAAATTGACGTGAAATTTTGACACAATACGACTATCAGGCCAACAAGTGACCATCACTCATAAAAACACTGAAAAACACAATGAAAGAGACTTAAAAAGCCAAAAAAGGAAAAAAAGATGTTACAGTGCATGCACAAAAACAACTCCCTTGGCAAACAAAGCACACAATAGCATATCCACGCTGTCTTTCGGATTACAGGTCCCAGCATCCCCTAGACCAAGCCCTTTAGGAGAGGAGAATGATCCAAATGCACTGCTTCCAAAATGCAAGCTTTCTTCTCCTTGGATTTCTTTGAGAGCATCACAATCCCTGCTTATTTCCTATTTCCTCTTCCTGGACTGCAACTCCCAGCAATCCCCCAGATAGATAAGATAGATAGATAGATATAGATATAGATATAGATATAGATAGATAGATAGATAGATAGATAGATAGATAGATAGATAGATAGATAGACAGATAGACAGATAGACAGATTAGATAGAGATAGGTAGACAGACAGACAGACAGACAGACAGACAGATAGATAGATAGATAGATAGATAGATAGATAGATAGATAGATAGATAGATAGATAGATCAGGAGGACTGCTGGGAGTTGCAGCACAAGAATAGGTAGAGAAGGAAGAAAGGGGAGAAAGATGAAGGGAAATAAAAGGGGGGAGGAAGAGAAGAGGAAAAGAAGGAAGGAAGGTGAGAATGAAAGAAAAAAAGGAAGGAAGGAATGGGGGAAGGAGAGAGAGAGGAAGAGAAAGAAAGGAGAGAAAGAGGGAGGAAAGGTTGGCCACAGCAATACGTAGCAGGTACAGCCAGTTACTACATAACATTATTGTGTATTCTGGGTTTTTTTTTTTGTCAGTTTGTTGTAAAACATGATGTTTTGGTGCTTAATTTGTAACATTATAACATCATTTGATGTTTAATTGGCTTTTCCTTAATCTCTCCTTATTATCCAACATTTTTGCTTATCCAACGTTCAGCCGGCCCGTTTATGTTGGATAAATGAGACTCTATTGTACAAACATTGCATTCACTATATGTTGTAAGTGGAAATTTCTAAGCAGAAGCGAGGGAGTGGATCCTTAAGGAGGATTCCCCTTGTGTGATAATTTCATCATAGCTGATGTGATGGCAAGTTAGGAAAGGTAGATGACAAGAAAGAAAGCAATTGCATCAACTAATTCTGTAGTAAAGGCTTTGTGGTCACATATCCACTCTAATTCAGTTCCGTATGGTTTTTTCATGTGTGGGTTTCTCTGGTAGGATGCAATGGTACAGAAATAGATATGTGAAACGATTTTCCTTTAAGACAGAAGCCAAATTTGCTCAGCTCTTCCTTAGTTAATCAGTGTTGTGATTCTTTAGTCCAGAGGAGACATGAATTTGCAGATTATTTTTTCTGCAGATAAAGGATTTGTTTTCTTGGATCTTAGGAGTGAAGATCCAAGGCCATAAAGACTACGATGCAACATGGCTAATGCAGATATACACTCTGTTCGAGTCTCTATTTAATCTCAGTGTAGACGTTCTGGATTGCATTGTCTTGGAGACGCTGCAGCATTCAATTGGGAAAGTAATTTATTCTAAATTGTCTAATGTCTATACACTCTTGAAATTCTTAACTGGTATGGCATTCTACCAAATGGGATCAAATTTCTTCGGTTTTATATCAGAATGTTTTATCAACATGTCTGTTAATTTTTAATAACCTTTGATTAAGCCCAGTAGGTCTTAAAAAGTTAAGCCATGACGTATCATTCAAGGGCATTTTCAGTCTTCTGAAAATGTGCTATTATACAGCTATCTCCTGTATGTGAGGCATGTTATAATAACTTAGAGAAATGTCTGGGCAGGGGGGTCAAAGAATCCCACCACTGTCTTTCCTTCAATAAGGAATCCACACCACTTTGGCTCTTATAGTGTTTGAGGGGATGTCTCGTTATGTAAAACCTTCGCTGCCACCATAAACTAAAGAAATCACGAACCCTCTAGCTATTTAAAATGTTAAAAGGCTGTTTAAATTATTAAAAGGCTTTTTACTCCACCAAATGCTGTTTATTATCAAGGGCTTTCTTTGAGGGGAAAACAGGAGAGGTTGATTCAACAAGGAAAATGACTCCAACCAAAAATGGCACTTGACTCAGGCTTCAATATTAAAAATAACAAGAAAGAGTTTATTGATTACAAGTTACAGAATTAAAAGTGAATGCAGGTTCAGAGGCTTGGCTGTTACAAATAAAAGTGTTCTTGTTTCTTAGAAGCGTAATGGTTACTTGAGCGAATGGTTCTTTCCTTTGTTACAATTCCTTAAACACAAAACCCAGCTATTTTCTTTCCTAAAATAGCTGTAACTCAGTCTGCCACAGCCTACTTTGCTGTGCAAACTTCAGGCAAGCTGCCTATTCTTAACAGAGACTCCTAAAAATCCAAATCCTACTCTAACCTCTCTCAGAACTGAACTCTACTCTACTCTCTACTGAACTGTCAAAATTAAGCTGCTCCCTTTCCCTCCAACTGGCTAACTCCGCCCCTCTTTTCCAAACCAATCCTGGCTGTTGCTGGGCTGGCCCAGGCCTAGGCCACTCCCCCCTCTCTGAGCTGGAGTTTCCCTACTCTAAGATGGCTCCAGCAGCTCTCTGCCAGGCCTTCTAAGCTGAAACTACCTAGCCTGTCTCTTCCTGGGCC